AGTCAGGCAATTTTGATTTAATGTGCAATAGATGTTCTACTGCAGGAGAGTTCATCATCAGACAATAGTTTTTTTTTAGAAAATTACTTTATCAACGTCCCGAGATTCTCCTATACCTTTGAAAACGACAATACCAAAAACAGCAAATTTATGAAGGTTAATCGTTTGCCTTCAGAAAAGTTACACAAGCCATATGCAGAGGATCAAAAATAGCTATTTTACGATGTTGGAGGAATTTAGAGAATGGAATGTTTGCTTTATGACTGACTATTCGATATTCTTTACTCTTCTAAAGCCTAATAGCAAAGAAGCTGTTGTTGCACCATTAAATAAGGTAATTGAGGATGAACCCGTGGACCACTAAAGGTGAAAGATTTAGTGATGCAATGTAAGTAAACATTGTTAGTTGTTTTCATTTCAGAGCAAAATAGAAAAAAATCACCGAGAATGACAACCATCAACTGAAAATAAAAGAAATTAAAACTTTGCCAGAATGCTCAAATTCAATTAGAAACGGCACCGACTTATCTGATGATAAACGCCTTGAAAGACAGAAAGTGAAGATCCAAACAGAAAATGAAAGGAGAAAAAATTTGGAAGCGCATCCTACAAAGCCAGTGATCGCTTCGTGCTACCTACAGGAGTACGAGAGTCATTGAGAAAGATTTCTAAAGTTCACCTGTATTCACTCTGCTATAAATTGTATGTTACGAATGTGCTGTCGAATGAAATAATCCCTGAGAGTGATTTGGTAATAATATGTCACAATAATTAAGTGAAACCATACGTGCAAGCAAGTGACCCATAAGTAAGTAGTAAACCGCATTATAAGTGTAAGCCGCAACACGACTTTAACCAAAGTTTAAGACAGTATTCGCTCATGAAGAAGAAACCCTTGCAGTTTTTGCAGTCTTTTAAAAGAAATTTTGCAATCAGCAAAATAATCTTTCCTTCTGTCCCGCTCTCCCTTAACTTGCACACAAGAAATGCCTTATATTATTTAAGCGTTTCGGGAAACATGTGATTGAAGCAATAGAGGAGGAGCAGCTGGGATATTGGTTTGTGAATTTTGCGATACGTGTTCCTCTACTCATAGCAGAATAAATGGAACAAAAAAAACCTAGGACGCTCTCCACTACGCAAAAAACACCGAGTTTCAAAACAGCGCGCTTGTAAGTGAAAAACGTACGCAGCACTGGAGAGAGGACGTCAACCAAGAAACAACTGGGAACAGCGTAATAAAGTCAAGAAGTGTGCGACGCAAAATTAGTGGCAGATCCTCAATGCTAATGAGATAAACTTTGTCGATAATTAAATGACGTTTTCTTCTCCAAATAACAGAAGAAGCTCCTGAATGTGTAGAAAACGCATAGCAAACTAACCACATAAAAGTGTCCGATCTCCTTCCTAAAAGCCAAAGTAGGAAATGACTGTACCGCGCAAGGTTCATCTATGCGATGATATGAATACTTGAGACGATGCTCATGACAATGATGATAGAACTAGTTGTACTGTATTTCACAATACGACTAGTTTAGGTAGGGGCAAATGCAAGCTTTCGGAGTGCTGCCGAATTCCTTTGGAATGTCAAGAAAGAAATTTTCCATAGGCCATGCAAGCCAACGTATTCCACTAATATCACTTGCCACTGTATCAGCACGTGCTTTGAGATTGGAGTGAACTGAACGGCATCGCGACACAGTTTTGAGCAACTTCTAGAGTGATCCTTAACAAATCGTGTAAGATGCTCTATTGTAGTGTTCGAATCTGAACACATTTCTTAATTTATTTTTAGATACTCACTTTCATAACGAGGAGGGGTTTTCGTTCAAGTTGCATCTGTAATAAAGAGAAGGTACTACAACAGTGAAGGAGAAGGAAAAGCAACAATTTATGCGAAAGAAACAACAATTTTAGCATGCATGCAATTGAGAGAACCGCGCTTTTACAGCATTCGTGCTGCTTCGTAGGACTATTTTTTTAAAAGAGCGTCAATGTAATTATCAGTATTCAGTAGAAGTCGGATCGGTCTACGTATAGAGGGTCTACTCTTCAACAGCAGTGATCAACCAGTTTGGGCTGCCAAAATAGCAGTTTCAAGAGGTGTGTTTGTGATATTTAGCCTTATGTCTTGATCCCTTTGCAACATTTTATCAATGATTTTCTGCTTCTCTTTCCTACTGGCAATTTATTTTCTCAATATCTGCCAATCTCTATCTGCTAGGTTAATTCGAGGAATAATTTTCAGAGATGTACTTTCCCAGTAGAGTTGAAGACTCACCTGTGAAATAGAAGTTTGTCCTCTATAATTTACTTTAATGTAGATTTGAAAACGGTCAACGTTTTGTGCATTTACCACAGCTCGTTGGCTGAGAAATTACGGGACAGTATCATTGGACCAAAGTTGTGTTAAATCATGCTAGTTTCCGTACTAGCAAGCGAATCGTACCCATCTTCAATAATGCCAGCCAGTGGGATTCACCTATTTGAAACTTCTGTTTACTTGTGTTCAGCTCGAAGCAAAAGTTTAGCACAAAAGTTGTAAAATCGAAACTTTTGCGAATAACTTTCATAATTCTCCTGTGCCGGAAATCTTCTGTAGTGATAGCTTACCTTTCCAAGGCCATCAGTTGTCGCCATAATATACGAGAAAGAAGAAGGAAGCAATACAATGTGTTTCAATGCATCCGGTGATGAAGAAAGCCGCTAAGTGCTTGTGCATGCAGATGAGTCGGCAGTCTTCTCATACAAGTAATCTTTTCTACTCATATAAGTAATCTTTTCATACTGCTGCCTTGTGATTATGTGTGATTACTTTTGACAGCCCATTTCCAGGGCCGATCTGACTTCTACTGAACACTAGTTATAAGTTTGACAGCCTATTTCCAGGGCCGTCCGACTTTTACTAAATAATAGTTATTGGAGTTGAGTTTTGGAGATGAGTATCAATGCCTATCAATACCTACATTGTATGCATATATATTAGCCTATCAACATATTCAATGCAAGCCGTTTCATCTTTCTTACGTTAGTCTGGCTAGGATTAGACTTGGACTGCTGACATAGTGATGTTTTGCATTCGTTTACATTTCTTGTTCATTCCCTTGTATTACTAACTTTTCGATGTGTCTTTTATGGAACGCCTTAAGCGTACAAATGAAAAATGAAAAATGTTGGCAAGGATAATACCAAAAACTAAAACGAAAACTATTTTATTGAGAGGATGAAAGCATAGAAGTTATGGAGTACGACTGAGTACTGGCTAATGTTGAGAAAGAATCAAAAGTGGATGGCAATGAAAAAACGCCACGCACGCCGCGGCTTCAGCTAAGCAGCAGCAGCGCTCCTGGCGCAGTGTTACTTACGGCATCGTGTAATATATCTGTCCTTACCTATCCTCCCCCCCCCCCTGTCTAATAGCGGAGAGTTTTGTAGGTCCGGAATTGAACGCGACGTGTGAGCCAAAGCGAACGCCGCGCGCGACGTACCTCTTGACCTGCTGCGGCCGTCCCTGTGCATAACTAAACGTGCGGAGAACGTTGGACGTAACAACACACAACGTAACAGTGGATTTTTACACGTAACATGGGAAGCACGCGATCTCTCTGTAACAATGCACGATCTCTTGATTCATCGCGAGATCGTGTGCTCGCTTCAAATCGTGGGCTGTTTCCAACGCTGGCGAGCACACTCTCTCACGATTATGGGATTGATACACGCTTCAGAATATAGGAAAACCACACAACAAATCGGGTTGTTGAAACACGTTTGTCTTCGAAACTGTAGCCAACAGGCAAGCGTTTGCAGATGTTTCCATCATACTCTTCATGAACAAAAATGACATTTTAGAAGAGAAATTGCCTAAGTCGAACATTCGGCACTACTCCGATTTCACCGGCGATCCTACGTTGGTACAAGAAGATGTGCATATTTTTGATCTATAAGTTTAAAACTTTAGGGAAGATCGTGCTCTTCCATTTTCTACCATTCACAGCTGCCATTGACACAGAGAATGAAAGACGAGTATATATTTGTCGATGTGAGAGATGCAATTTTGTAGCAAAATCTCGGATCACTTATAATGCAGTGATATGCCTGATATGTGATTTCACTGAACATTTCAAGTAGCAACCCAAAGAACTTTTCAAAGCTGGTCGACGGCACGCTTTTACATTTAGAAAATTTTCCACCTTTCCTGCACTGAGTTTTCAACTGTGACTGAAGAAAATGTATTGCAGCATGTTATATACTTGTAGGCTAAAAGCAGATTTCAAACTTTCGAGCAGTTCCTAGATATCTTGTATTATATCTATCTATTATATGTAACTGTTAGTTCATCTTCTAAAATATATTTGTTGCGCGTTTTCAATGCACTTGTGAGACGCAAATCTACTTCACTCTTTTGCAATTCACAGCCTTTCATCTCCTGGTGCAATCAAGGCTTATTTAGTACACTTCAAAAATCTCAACCACCACATCGGACCACCTTTCACTGGCGTCCTAATCTTGCATTTTTCATGGTCACCTTCGGTTGATCACGACCAGGGTAAAGCGGGGGGTGCGGCACACGACCGTCGGATACGACCCCCCCCTTGAACCGGACCTCGGTACGACCCCCCCCCCCATTCCTACCCCCCCCCCCCTCTCGCCCTTGAAGGCACCGTCCACCCAGAATTTCGACCCCCACCTTTTTGCCGTTCCGCCTTCTCATACCCATCAGCGCGAGTTGGGCAGTCATATAGTTGGGGCCCCGCATGTGCTAGGTATCATAATCTCACCAACCCCAATTTGGGTGGACGATGCCTTTAAGCCACGTCGCGCCGAGCCCTGTTCGTCATACGCAATTCCGGTCTGTTCTCGACCGTCACTGCTCCAAAACGGTACTTCATTTTCATTGAATTTTCTAAGCTATTTTTGAGCAAGCAAGACTTTATTTTAACAGAAAACATTCCAACAAAACAAGAGATCTTGAACGAGATCTTATGACGAGATCTTCTGCTCTAAACGTTCTCGACGCGAGGGCGTGTGTTGGTGGTCGTCCACGGAGTTCCGCAGAGAATTAGTTTTTTGTTGAGCAGTATGTAAATGAAAACCAACTGAAAAAAGATAGTTTTTAGGCTGTTTTAATGGCGAATGAGGACTTACCAAAACTATCAGAATGATGAGCGCAAAAATTGCGTTCTTGTCGGCAGGGAGCCAGAGTTCATTACTTTGATGGATATTAGTGTACTTGTTAGTATCGATAACCATGTTTCTGCAATAAAATTTATTGTATAGATACATAATTCAACACAGAGATATAGAACGCTGAACGTCAAAATCATCACACGATTTGTCTATAAACCTTTATTATAAAAGCTGGGAAAAAGTGTTAGACTCGGAATCGTAACGCCTAAACGCCTATGTAAAATCGCATTCACATGAATTCTATAACGACAATAGACAATAAAAACCAAGATTCTCTTTGGTGGTGAGCCTAGAGGATTCACTATTCTTGTTGGGTTACCCCATGCTTCATCACATGTTGGTACGCTGTCAGGTTTTCGACTTAACGCCGTCCACAAAGCGCTATCTTTGGTCCAAGCCAATTCTTCAAGCACTCTCTCTTCGACCTAAATGACGAGTTGAGATGGACAACTCAGATCAACGCACAACTTACATGGTTCAAATGTCGAACTATTTCTCTCGTAAGGCGTGACTCGTTACGTATGACGACCTCGATAATCTTTTGAAAACTGACAGCAGGCAGCCCGCACACCTGGATTTGCTGTCTTATGCAAACTGAAGATGCGTACAAGTAACAGCACGTAGTGCAAGAAGTCAAGAAAAGAGAAGAAAATGTGAGAGTACTCGTACACAGAACAAGGGTAAGGGAAAAAAGCGAAAGAACATGGTTCAAGCTGATATAGAGTAGACTTTGCATACCTCCAAACACCATGGAAATACTCTCTCTCTATCTGAATCTAGCATTTCGACAGCTTTTTGGTTGTACTAAATCAAACTGAAGAAACACAGATCACTTGTTCATGTTTTGGTTCAGATTCTCCCTCCATCAAGGCCATGTTATAATGTTGAATTATTTACAAATCTCCGAAAAGATTCAACTGTTTTGTGAGAAGAGAGATACATGATGATATGCGTGTTGTTGGCAGTGTCTCTAGTCAAGTTGGTAATGCCCTAGAAGGTGAAGCTTACTAACAGCAGATACTCCTAGTGTTAAGTCGATTTTGAGAAAGCAGTGAGACAAAAGAAAAGAAAACATCAAAAAATCAAAAAAGAAAAACTGACCTGCATGACAAACTCTATCATTGCCGTGAGACCAAGAAAATTGCATCGATAGTCCATTTTATATCTACGTAAGACATCTCCAATAATCTGCATACGTTTCCAAACCTAAAAAGAGTAAGAAGTGACAAAGAATTGCAAAGTGCATTTTCAAAGACACGGATTGTAGCATACACACGAACATACCGTATATCTTCAACAGCGTCTGCAATGGACTGTCGAGCTGGATCATACGTGCCAACCAACGACTCAATTCGGCGAATGCGCTGTTCCAAGGAGAGAAGCTAGAAAATTTGTGAAACTGATGCTGATAATCTTGTATTTAACATTAATAGTACTTTCGCATTCGAAGACTTGTCTACGTTTGGTGCGGCTCCTTCTTTGTCAGTCGGTGGCAGCTCCCGATGATTTGGAAACTCTCACAGACTAGAAAATACCTTCACTGAAGAGAAAAAAGGATAGACACGATTCAGTTGGTACCTTCAACTCATCCGTAAGATCAGCAAGAGAAGTCTCGTTCACAATGAGGGTAGGCTTTACCGTTTCATCCTAGATAAATACTAAAAGCAGTGAAAATAGGCAAATTGCGTAGAAAAACCTTCAGTTGCGCTGCCAGTTCATCAATCTCACAAACAACTTTGAAATCGAAAATCTTGAATTGCTGGCTTTTAAAGCCTTTTTATCATAGGCTCGTCCCAGATTACAAACTTTCTAGCTCTTTGCGTATTGAACAGCTGAATATTTTTGCAGGAAAAGTGTTAATAAGATGACCTATCGTGTCTACAGAAATGAGTGAAGCTTCGGCGATAGAAGTTTCTGGGCCATACAATAGCAGATGCGAGCATTCATGCTAAGGCATCAACTTCTCAGTTCGAATAGATATAAAACTCATGATCAAGTGTGCAAAACGTTGACAATTTCATCGCATTCCGCAGCCTAGAGAAATAGTATTATTTGCGGTTGAATATGGCCAAGAAACTAAATGCAATAAAATCTCGGTTTTAAGCGCGGCTATTTAAAATCCATTTCTAATAGATCAAGTTAGAAACTTGTTTCAACCACTGTTGAAAGGGCATGAGAGATTCTGAGCGGTGGGCATGAGAGATTCTGAGCGGTATGCAAAACTAGTTCCAAAAAAAACTAAGCTTGATGGAAGAAAGTTGCATAGAAAAAGGACAAGAGACATTGATTTTGTCCAGCTCGATGATCAATCGGATGAACCCTTTTCGAAGGCAAAGTGAAAAAGAAATTCACTTTCGTGAACAAGTGCAATTCAGCGAACAAAGAAGCAGAAAGGTAACGATAAAACATCTCTTCAAAAAGAATGTAAGCAGGCACAAAGAGAATCGATATTAAGAGAGTATAACGAGCATATGGACGTACCTTTGCTTGCGGTACTTCTTGTGATGGTAGTTGCTTGCCTGATATACTCAGCTCTTGTTCAAAAACAAGAGGAGTGGTGGCGGCATGTTTTCCGTGAATTACTGCAGACTCTAAATAGAATTTATTTCTGTGTACCTGAAAATAAAGTGCAATGGTAGTGAAATGGCAAACCTGATATTGTTCTATTTCGACCCAGTCTTGTGTTAAGAGCACGACTTGTGGACGATGGAAATTGCATCTGGAATAGATTTTGATTTCAGCATGCAATATCAAATTTTTCGAACTGAAGAAGCTGTACCAAGTAGCAAAAGACGTGATTACAAAAGGACAAAAACATCACATGTCTCAGATTTTTTGCATTATATCAATTAGTTTAGGTGATAATTATGCCAATTCCGTGAAAAAAGAAAAGCAAAAACGATTGAAGGAAGAAAATCATGACTAAACATACCCGTAATGTACCGGGCCAAGCTTCATGGCTTCTTCTTCTTCTTCCATGGCTTGCTCTCTGCAAACTGCGAAGACTGATACATATCTCTACGAGTAGAGAGCGCCAGTTTGCGCACACTGGAGTAGCCGGAATTTCAGAAAAACAACATCAACGAGACGAGAACGAGAGACGAGGCGAGACGAGACGAGAGTGATTTTGAAATGCACAGTTTGAAATGTCCTGCCTTCCGCCCTTGGTGTGCCGGCAATTTTTGGAATCCTACCGTACACCAATATTTTCGGCGGTTGTCGGACTGGGTGTTTCGGTGAGTAGGGTTCGGAAAACCCACCGTATCTCTACTAAGAGGGCGCGCTTGGGGGGGGGGCAAAGGCTACTACGAAGAGGAGAAGGATGGATCTACAGAATAGTGTAAAAAAGGGATTTGTTTGAGCGTTTTGAAGGTAAGTTAATGGCCTGCGGCACCCCCCCTCAAAACCTGCGGCAGCCGCAGGTTTTGAGGGGGGGTGCCGCAGGCCATTAACTATATCAAAAAAACATTTTTAGCGGACAATATATATATGAATCAATAGCCTAAACCTCGTAGATTCCATAGGGATGTTTTGAGCCTGATTTGTCTTCTCAGCTCTGAGTAATATTTGGTGGAAGCACAGCGATCAAAAGCTAAAAGCGATTTTGGTTGGCTTCTAATTCAATAGTTTGGATGTCTTCTGAAGCGGGATTACTGAGGTGGACAAAGAAGGAGTAGTGCTTTGTATTGAGTGCAAGAAGAGGTAGCTTACTCACCGTTAAGATAAAGTTAATCATGTTTTAAATTACTGCCTTATACAAGGTTGTTTACTGCTCGGAGACCTCAGAGTTCGCTGAAACTCGGCGCATAGGGGTTATTCGACACGCGGATTACAATAATTATACTTGATTAGCGGTACGGTAGGTTACGGTAGGCATACGGTATCTGCAAGTTTGTGTCATTGGACTTGAATTTTGCAGGACTTCAATAGCGTCGTCAAGTCAATTTAGTTACACAGCTTGTACAAGTGCGCAAGTCAATGGATTAGGCTTGCACACATACAGTAGACTCTTCGACTTAGACTTACAATCGGTTTATGGTTTCACACACAAGCAGCTGTGTGAGCAGCAGCACAGGACAGTACACGCAAGCAAATGCATTGTACTAACACGATCACTGTAATGATTCATCATCTTTGAAATGTAAATCTTCTTGGTGCACCATCCATATTTCTTTGCTTTCAAGTCAGTTCTTTTACTCACTTTCGGACCTCTTCGACCTTCCGCCATTTTCTCGCACCGAAAAGCGTTATCTTTATCCTACACGAACAAATGGAGCGAGAAAGGCTTTCAGGTTTGACGCTATGACGCCAGCACAAGCTAATAAGGACGAGGACAGCGATTTTGATCTGCCTCCACTCTGGATTGATTTGGAAGTTCCGGAATCGGATATCGATTCTTCAAATTCTGATTATGAATTGGACGATGGGCGATATTCGGATCATGAAAGTAGCTCATTTGAAGTACGCTCACAATCACGACTGCCCAATTTTTTGCACAGTGACAACCTACCAGTTTCAGGAACCTCTCGTTTGTGAACCGGTGGCGGAAGGAGGATCGGACAGTCCTACTCCCAACGAGGTCGCGTATGCCATACGGCAGCGAAGACGGCCGTCTCCACCGTGGCCGGAAGTGACTCCGTTCGATTTCAGCGTCGATGGCTTTAGCGAATGGGAGCGTGAAGAGGCTTCACGTTACACATTAATTGATGTTTTTGGAGTTTTTGAGCAATAAAATTGTGACCATTTCCAGGGTACCATCTAGTCATTCATCAGTCTCATCTGGTGTACCATCTATATCTCGTAACCTTTGCTTTCAAATCAATGCCATAAATTGGTGAATGGTCTGTTTGACTCATTCCACCGTAATAAGATGAGTCCAGTCTAGCATGGAGAAGCTTCAACTTCTGCTGTTTATCCTCAGAACGCTCGGTGAAGAAGCTCCTCCGCCACCGCGGAGGCAATCCGAACAGTGGTTGGAAGAGCACAGAAGAAGGTTAGAAGTTTTGCCGCCTGACTTGAGGGCCATGCGTCAATTCGTTGTCGTTCACAAACTAACGGCATTGTTGGAGGCGTTATCGGAAATGCCCATAGAGCATAGGGGAATCCGGTCCCTTTTTCAATTGTGTGGACGACTTTTTGAAGTAGCCACAGGTGCGTTTAATGGAGCTTCTGGAACGTACATCGTGAACTACAGGGACTTCCGCATCATTCGGCATACAAGCAACTCTTTCCGATTCACATGCTCCAATGAAGTATGTCGTCCCCACCATACTTTGTATGAGCACCACCTCAACAGGAGGGTGGCGCTCAGATACCCGAGGGCGTTCTTGCTAGACTTTTCCCCGGAAGGGACAACCTCGGCAGTTATGGCCATTGAACAAGTATGGCTAATGTTCCCGCGTCTGCCGCAAGCCATTCTACAGGTGCACCTTGAAATGAGGGTAGAGAATAACAACGAGCAGGTTAGTTTTGCCAAAAATCACATTTATTCTTTGTTCATTTGCATCACTAACATTTATCAGATAATCCTATTTTTATATATTATTTTTATTTATTTTTTTATTTTTATTTTTTATTTTTATTTTTTTATTATTTTTTATATGTTCTTTTAATATTTTACAATATATTCATCTCAGGAACGAGATCGTCGCCACCACTCGCCCTCCCCCCAAGACCGCAACGTACCTGGACGCCCAAGACTTCAATGGAGACACTGAAATAATTTTGAGGATAGATCGGAAAAACTTTATATTAGATTTTTTATGATTTTGATTCCGATTTTGATTACTCGTGAGTTATTCTTCTGGTGTGGGCTGTGTTTTTTCTCATAAAGAATGTTGTACCCTAGTGCGGAGATATTGAAACATTGTTAGTTCTCAAATGTACTTATCAAAATGGATTTTGAATTTTCCGAATTGGGAATTGTTTAGAATCGACCAGCCCAAACACGCCTAAGGACTGCGCAACCAAAGGACCGTATATAGTGCTGTGCATTGCCTGAGAGAATCGTTCGAGATAAGTATTGCTTTCTGAATCGGTTCAGTAGGTGTATCACTATTCGAAAAGGTGGGCTCATACACCTAAAAAAGCATACATTATATGTGCTATTTGCAGTGTGCTGATATGTGGAGGTTCCTCTTTATCCCTTGGGTTGTCGCCGCTCCATCTGGAAATCCATGTCATCCACATTTCAACGAGATGTCGGTTTTACATTTTACTACAACCAATGAGGAGCAATTTATTGAACTGAGTGTTAGAGAAGAATGCTATAACGCTGAGGAGATGAAGAATTTGAAACTAAATAGCTATGGAATCTTGGTGCTTAACACAAAACCATCCTTGGTGAGTTTACAGAATTTCGTTGCCAGTATCTTTATTATTGAATGCAGATGGGAGACGAGCGTAACTTTCAATCCACAACATTCGTGGACTTCAACAACGAAAAGTGGCCCAAATCAAGCAGGGTATATCAAGCATTTTTTACGGTTGGGAGTGCAGAAGGAGATAACGACGTCCCTCCCGGACACTTCCCCCGAGGAGTAAAAAAAATCAACTTCAATTTCTTCACTGGTAGGAGAAGAATGGCAACGTGCAGTAGATTCGTCAATTGGCCGTATTGCAATCAAGTGGCCGATGCTAGCCAGAATCAAGATCTTTTGAAATTCTACGGTCGAAGCAGATCGACGCCAGCTCCACGTATACACAGCGAGCATCATTATCTCGAAGGACAAACAGTTTTTGTGCTTTTGAATTTCAAAAAGAAAGATACAGCCGAATTTGCTTCCATGTTCAGTTACGTACTAACCACGCAATCAGGCAACTTGTACTACAAGCCAGATAACTTAGTCATCACAGGAGACAAACAGAAATGGATATCATCCAGAGCGGTAGATATAGTTGTGCTTAGTCCATCGGATGATGTTAGCAAGGTGACACCGATGAACTATCTTGACAACATGTGGCCACAACATTCTAAGGACATGGTCTTTCAAATTCTCAATACCGAACAGTTTAGTGCAGAAAAGTCCCTTTCAATGTGTGGCAACCGGTGGGCCCTCACGAGTAAAACTCCAGGTTATGACAACAATTGCAATGACGAGGATACTATTTTTTTGGATCAATGGATTCGCCGTGAAGATGACCCGATCAGACCAGAACCTCAAGGACTTCCGCGCCAAGATGGAGCGGAAGTAGCTTCCACCACAAATTCGTGGCAACTCAGCCCATCTTACCTTCCCCCGCGAGCCCAATCACCAGTCAATGACGATTTGGACCTTTTTATTGACATGCCTGGAACCAGTGACGTAGGAGTGGTCCCTTACCCGTCTGCTGCTGCAAGCGAAGTACGCTCCGAGAAGCTTGAGAGCAAAGTTGCTAAGCTTTTGGAAATTGTGCAAAGTATTGCACTTCGTCAAAAGGCATTCGGAGAGCAGCAAAAAATTCTGACGATAGAATCTCAACAAGCGACTAGCATGCTATCTAGTATAAGGGAGGAAATGAAGGAGAAAAGTGAGTTACAGACTCTTGAACTGCAGCTTCAAGACGAGAACTTGCGGCGCAAATTCGGGCTGTATAGAGATCCAATGGAAACGCAAAAGTTCGAAGATGACTTGAAGCAGCTAACGATCAATGAAGAGAAACTGAACCCAGACCAGATCAAATGGTTAAAAGGGAAACATTATTTGCGATATTACCGAGATGAAGAATACCCCGGCGCTGACTTTTTCAGATGTGCTCTCTGCAATAGAAAAGCGACGGCGCCTTTTGACGCGAAAGAGGGTTTCCGCAAGTGCCAAACCGATAGCGATCTGTCGACTACTTCAAATCTGCTTGGGGAAAACAGCGTGCTTTGTGTGAAAAGAATGGCCCAACAGGCCCGAGACGAAGAAAGACCTCGCAGGCTGATCAGTCGTCTTATAGAGAGAATATCTAAACACGAGAAATCGACGCAACATAGCCAATGCTTGGAAGAGTATAAAAAAGAAGCCGATGATATTTCTGGAAGAATAACTCCAGATGACATCTCAGCTACAGTAACTTCCACATTCGCTGCATATGTGATAGCAAAAGAAGGCCTTCCCTTTTCGAAACAGTTCCCACTTTTAATCATGTCGATGAGATCTGGATCTGTAGGCGTCACTCTTCATCACGATTCTACTACTGCACGTAGAATGATATCTGCATTCGCTGTACACATGAAGTACGATCTTGTAAAATACGTCGTCAAGAACAACCTACCCTTCTCTTTGCTTCTAGACGGTTCTTCGTCAAGCAGAGGAGTGAAGTGGATAGTGTTTCTTCTGAGAACACTTTCAACAGACTACCGTCCAATGACCTTTCATTTCTCTTACTGAAGTGGAAAGTGAGTCTGCAACTCACATTGTGGAAGCACTACTACGAGTTTTTACGAGTATGGAAGGCTGGGTCAATGAGCCAGGTCTCAGCAAGTCCTTCAAACAGCATGCTATGCAAAAAATGTTAGCACTATCTTCCGACGGTGCAGCTGTCATGAGCGGTCATGTTCAGGGAGTGTTTGCCAAACTAAAAGACATAATTGCTGAGGAGACCAAAGATGATCTTTATCCTAGAAACAATCTCATAATCTCAGTTTGTATGGCCCACAAATTGAATCTGGCTGTGAAAGCCCAGAAAGGTCCACTATTCAAACTTGCACAAGCCATTGTCATGGACTTGTACCATCTCTTTGGATCTACTGTGAGAACAACCGGCAGAAGCGTGTACAAGAAAGCTGCGCAAAAAATGTGCTTCCCAGATTTGCAGATGAGCGCTCTTTTCACAGTGAGATGGTCGGCTAGTTTTGCCAATTCACTCTCCAATATACTTCGCGTTTACCCTGTGCTTCTGGAGGCACTGGCGGATATACGAGATAACAAACGTCTTAGCAACAGCCTCATAAAAAGAGCTACTTCGACATTTCATGTGCTTTCGGATGCGAGGACATACATAGCTCTACATCACGTCAACACTACTATGCATGGGCTTTCTGTATTGTCGCAGTATATGCAGCGCGAAGAAGGGCTACTTATTGACAATCTACAAAAATGGAGAGCTCTTGTCTACAGCATAGCAAAACGTGATTTCCTAGAAAAAACGACAAGAAACTTACTTGAGCGAGGAACCATCAAGGGCTATGTTAATGACAAAATAGAACGTATCGATACGGACTTCCTCAACAATTATCCTAACAAAGATGACAGACGCCTTTTAGCGTACAATCCTCGTGCGTTCGCAGATTTTTCACTCGACCGCTGCTCAGAAGGCGATGACGAAGAGCGACAACGACTTCTGGACTGGCATTTATTCAGAGACTTCACTCGCACCACATCCTACGAAGAAAGCCCACCGGATCTAGACGATCCCGAACTCACCTTTAGCCTTGAGGATGCTCCAGAAAGTAGTGAAGGTGACTTAAGGCACTATAGTTTAGCAAAACGATATGAAGATTTCGACTGGAACAATGCTGTATATTCTTCCATTACACGTTTCTACGACGAAATGAAGCGAGCATTAGATGTCCAGCTCGTAAATAAGCCTCATGAGTTCAATAGTATTGGTCTACTAGCATTGGATAAGCACATTATACTAGATGTGATTGAATTCAACGGAGATTTCGAAAACGGATTTGTTGACTATGTACCGACAAATGCAAACTTCTTTAATAGAGGATGCCCCAGCTATTTCATTATGGAAGGCGACATACTTGATCCAAATCTTCGTCAACAGCAAATTTTGGATTCCATTGAAGTACTTAGTCAGTTCTGTAACATCCCTGACCTCAAGGATAGCATGATTCGCTTCTATAATACTATACCTGCGTCAGTGCACAGGTTTGCAAAGTGGAAATCAAACTTCAGAGAACATTCAGATAGTTTGTCGTTTTATCGAACGCTGTTACAGTACAGTAAGGATCTGGATGTCCCGGATGACGTCCAGCAGGTACTACGTTTTCCGTCTTTTTTGACTACAGCAACAGCTTTTTAAGGCCATAAAATGCGTTCTCATCCTCCCAGCAAGCAACGCCGACCCCGAGCGCAGTTTCTCTGCTGCTAACAGGCTCTCTAGAGAGGAAAGGAGTAACATAAAGACGGAATCTCTAGACAACATCATGACGTAAGCCCTGTTCTTGTAAGTATGCTCCAACATCAATGCATGTTTTAGGGTGCAGCGTAATGGGCCTAGCATCCTAACAGTCAAACTTCAACAGTTAGCACTCCAATGGATGCATCCTGCAACGGGACTTGGGCTGGATCCGGGTATGCCATCGAATCTAGCTAGAGAAGGCAGCCTCATGAAAGCAGTAAAAGAAAACATTGCAAAAGGTTGGATTCACTTCAGGTTTCAGAATTTAACGCATGCATTTAGGAGATGCATATGAGTTGGCCAAGCTCCATGTAAGGCGCCACATGGTGGTCCACGGTCTAAATGCACGAAAGGACACGGAGGAAATCAAAAACCGGCTTTTGCAAGAAGAACTTGCTAAGATGAACATTTTTTCAATCGGATCTTCTCAGAAAACAGACTGAGCATCTTCACATCTTTATAAATCATTATTCATTTCCTTATATTAACGTATGCAACAGATAAATGTTTTTTTAAAGGTACATTTTACACAAAACCACAACAACAATATGCGTAAGTTCCTCTTTCCCGACACAAGTTGTTCAAATGTATCGTGCATTTCTATTGACGAAATCTTCACTTCCCACACATCACACGTCGGTCGTCACACCATCATCCATTCACTGCAAAATCTCCTTTTCAAGAAATTCTATTGAAAACACAACTCGTACCTAAATCAAGACTCCATTTAGTATTTCTCTCAATTATTGAACCTGAGTTGTCAGAGGTAGTTGGGAAAGAGCGTGGCACATCTAAGAACTTAGCTGCAGTCATTTCCCCTTAGAAACCGCTATTGACCTTCGGTCGATACGACCCCCCCCCCCCTACCTACCCCCCCCCCTTACGACCCCCCCCCCCTGCGGCGTGCCGCACCCCCCGCTTTACCCTGATCACGACTGTTTCATCATGTAGTTGTTTTTCCCGTACGTTTTGATAGTACTATTGGATAGTACTATTGTTTGACAGGCCAATTAACAGTATCGTCTCCAGCCCTCGTAGCATGGGGCTGCAAAATCTGTTTTTGCTTTAAAACAAAACGTTCCCACTTTCCACTTTCTATTTTTCTATGTTTTGTTTCTCTAATCTAGCGTCTCAACCGAAATCTCGCATTTTATCATTATCAAATCTTTTTCTGCAAGTTGTAGACAGTGACAGCTTCTAGGTTTCAGAAAAATCCCCAATTCTTTTGTAATCATATACGTTATCAAACTCTCTTCTACGCACCAAATTCAAAATTCGAACTTTCCTCCAGCGGGCAAAATGAGCCCGAATTCTACTCAGCTCACAGAAATAGTACGAGCCCTCCTCAGATGTTTTCGTGTTACACTCCTTCTCAATGCTTTCAAATTCCAGAGGGCAAAACCCAAATATTTCTGTAATAAAGTCTCAGTAGTTTTCTCACATTTGCGTAAAGAGTTTCAGATCTTTGCTCCCTCCAAGAGTGTTTTTGGGCTAAACTGCTCTGAATCTCAAGTTATAAGTGCTGAATAACCGAACGTGTAACTGTATGCAAAAGCACTTAAATGAGCCACAATTGATATCAGGTCACACTTAATACAACACATGTTTCGCGTATATACTCATGCGCACATCTTGCAGCAAAAAGAATATGTAAATCATGTTTAAAATGAAATACTTAATTTTTCGGACATGCCTCGCTTTACTATAATCTTATGTATTAGGTCGTTTCATAAGTAATTTCGCTTTTTTCAGACGGGCACCACATGTGACGAAATAACGCTTTCTAGGAGATCTTGGAGACATTCGATGCAAATTTGCATTCTCTCTCTGATGGTATGAAATTGTTGCAAAACAGTCTGAATTTCAGAAAATAACCAAAATTTGGACCCATGCTTTTTGAGATGATCAAGTTTTACAATTATTTAAAATTTTCATATCAACCCTCCGAAAAAGAGCAAGTAACGCCTTTATAGAGCAAACTCTATAGAATGCAAAACTACTTTTTTTCCTTTCCATAGCTTGTCATACATTTTTGACAGAATTTTAACTGATGCTACCGACCATACTTGGTCAGCTAAATCCTCTTAGAACATCAAAAGAAGAGCAGCTCGCGCATTAATCGATGCAGCATTTTCTCCTCTTTCTAGCAGAAGTTTTTTGTTTCCGATTCGCTTAATTTATGGGAAGAAATCATCATAACTCATTTTTTTTAGCGAGCCTCAGGTTGTACCCGAAAAACTCGACATTTGATATTTTGAACCCGCAAACCCTCACTTGCCTTGTAAAATTGATACTAATTTATAGTACCATCTTGGTAGTCTCAAATTCCGAAAAATTATGATGTTTGATGCGATTGTGGTTGAGGTGGGCCTGCCAAAATCCGATGGTTCTCTTTAAAAAAATCTTTTAAAAAGTTACGGCAAGCTACAAGAAAGAGAAAAAAGTAGTACTGTATTCTATAAGGTTTACTCTATCGAACCATTACTTGAACTCCTTCTGGGGATTGATATGAAAGTTTTAAAAAATCGTAAAACTTAACCATCTCAAAAAGCATAGGTCGCAGATATTGGATGTTTTGTGAAAGCTCATTGATTGTTTTGCAACAATTCCATAACCATTAGAAAGAGAATAAAATTCTGCATCAAAGCTCTTAAGATCTCTTAGAAACCTTTGTTCCATCATATGTGGCACCCGTTTAAAAAAAAGCGAAATTACTTTTGAAACGACCCAATATAAACCTAAATTTTAATTTTTTGTATTCTGTTTGTATGTGAGCATACTTATATTCTAAATAGGGCATTCCAATTTTGAACCGGTTGGACACTTTGCACATATAAAGTAAGGGGAGGGCGGGTGCTACAGGCTACCTTTTTTTTTGGCAAAATTTTCGCAAGAAATCCTAGCATGAACAGCCGAAATGAGTGTATGTCAATCACAAATGACTTTATGCCATTCGTGACATTATGTGAGTTGAAAGACCACTGATTAGTTCGAATATGGTATACAGTGTATTCCATTATTGGTATCAGTGGCACTGAAGGACGGCCGCTTTCAACATCTGCGCGCCGGCGGTGGAGGAGGTTGGTTCGTCTTTCACGTTATGGAGTTTTTGTTTGTAGCATTCTGGGGCAACGTCGAGGCTAGCCGGGGATGGAGAAGGTTTTTGGTGGGGTAGACATAAAATCATAAATCTCTTACCACTTTAGGCCTCTGAAGAAGACGAATAGCTCGAAACGTTAGGCCGCCACTTACTAATAAATACTAACCTCGATTGGCTTACTAACTACTCACAACATACTAACTAACAATGCCGAGGTTAAGAAGAGAGGAGACTTGGAAACTGTTAAGTTTTCTCATATTTTTCACTTTTTTCTCTGTTTCTCTCTCTCTTTCTCTGTTCAAGAAGCTGCAAATGAACTCGAGGTATAACTTCAAATCAAGCATAAACGCCTTAAGTATACAATTGATAAAAAAATATTACTGTTTTCCAAACATTGTTCTGCGAGCCTACATTTCCAGTGAGCGTTTTTTTACGTATTTGAACAGGGCACGGCACGGGTGGCTTAGCAAGCAAGCTGGATATCGTTTTTAGGGAAAAAGCAAAGGGGATATCGTTTTTGCGGAAGAACATAAACGTTGTCTTTCGATTTGCGGCCGGCACGCTGCCGGCATGCCGCCGGCAAATAAACAAAGGGTTTGTTTACAGCGAATTGAAGATGAAATGACACCAAAATAGGTGTGTAGATGGGCAATGGGGAGTTAGGACTAAGTATGAAAAATTATGAAAAAATTATGTGAACTAAAGGCGTGCTCAACTTTTTTCGGAGTTAGGTGGCTTTCAAGCCACCTGGATAGCCACCTGAGGTGGCTTAGGAAAGAAAAAGTCATAAATTTTTCCTCACGCACATAATTTTTCTACTTTCTTTACATACTTTTCATCTACCTCCCAAACCCTACAAACTGGTTCCTAAACCGCCTTAAACCCCCCTCTCCCCGCTTAGTTATAGCCCCTTGAAAATTTTGAATGGCGGCGGAAAGGCTGCTTTAGGCGCGTAATGCTGCACGATGGATACATCACGCCGCCAATCCAGAGAATATGAATATCATCGCGTGTGTTCGATGATTCTTTTTCGTTTTTTCTTTCTGTTGTGGCTTTGTTCCGTTCCTTTTCATGTATTTACTCTTCGAATATCTCGTGGCGGATGTCGTAATTTCATTGAAGACAATGAAACTTCATTTTTTGCAATCTCGGGACGCCAGCTCGTGCCGACCCATGGTCTAGGGTCAAAGGGGACTTCGTAAAAATTCGCAAAAGTCAAGGGGGACTTCGTTTTTTGCATTTTCAACTAGCCAATTCGTGCCGAGCCCTGTATTTGAAAACGTATTTCCAGTTTCCAGTGAGTATTTCTCTACGAAATAAATTTAAGTGTGACCTAGATAATTTGTTTAATCACATCTAAAGTAACCAAGCTGGTGTTCACTTCCTTTCACAGGCCTCGACTCAAGAAAAATTGATAGGAATGTACACTGACTGCTGTTTCTGTAGCTCTCAAATTGGTAAAAAAAATCGTTCAGACGCGTAAGTGACAGTCGCAAATTTTATAGTCCTTTTCGAAAAGCTTTTGGTAAACAGGGGTACTACAATGTTGTATTGCAAAGCCTCTTACAATAAAAATATGAAACTGTTCCAGATTGTCCAGGAATGCATCTACGAGATAGATCGTAAACATAGAAAATTGGGTTTTATTCTTAAAAGTGCTGGTTTGACAATTTTTGAAGATAGAGGCACCCTGTAGCATATGTTTTGAATCATACTATCGGTGCTAATTCTATGAAAGAGCTACAAGCCTGACGAGTTAATTTTGACGCACGCTCAGTGGCGTACCCAAAATTTTCGTTCAGGGGGAAGGGAGAGAAAAATTTTTCTCTAATGACGGTGCGTGGCATCAGCCACGTCCCCAAAAAATTTTTTTTCATTTTGAACTGCAAGCTTAATTTCAAAAATTATATCAATTATCCCAATTGTATCCCAATAACTTTCCAGTTGTAAGGCGCCTGTTTTCATTTGTGAAAGAATAAACGGGTGATTTAGAAGAAAGTTGACCCAAAAAAGTTGGGTTCAGAAACTGAATCATTTTTTTTATTTTGCATGAAGTTTCTAATAGGTCAGATATAAGTGCTAATGCTGAGCGAAAAACTTGGTAGGGTTTATTTCTACCGTGATTTACATAAGCGTTGATTGCCGTATACAAACTCTTCGTTCACAGCTACGTCTCATCACTGCTAAGTGAGGAAAAAAGAGTACAAAAAAGGTTTATGCAATATATCAAAAAAATTGTACAATTTCGATAGGAGAACATTTCAAGAGCAGCGTTCCGGCAAAATCAATCTAAACATTTTCGCTTACCTACATAGCTTATTCGTCCTGCAGATTCCGAAAAAA